ATTCGAACACAACTCCACACTATTCGCTACGGAGAGGACATGGGACCTCAGTTTATTTGACCTCAGTTGTGATTTTTATTCGTCTCCGTCTTGAAGCATAAGACTTAGAGTTTCTAAACGAAATATATCATGCCGGTTCCAGATTCATCAACGTCATCTAAAAATAGCGCCATGAGAAATCGTATCATCCACTAAACGGCATAATGCTCTGGATTAGTAATGTTTCTGTTCCACAATTCTGCTCCACACTATTCAATTCTGTCCCTCAATTGTTCCATTCCTTCTGTTCTCTGTAGTTCTTCTCGAACTGTTCTATTCGAGAAGCTTACAACAGAACCGTTCAAAACGACTGGAACAGAAAGAGCACTGTAGAAATCAAAAAGAACCTTGTTACGAGCAACACATGATACTCTTCTGCGTAACGATGGCAATTTGCTGCGAAGAGATTCGAATCGATGCAAATCGCTGATATTACAGCAATAGAACATATCACCATCAGCCTGGTTCAGCTGACAATAATCCAACTTCAGTCGCTTCAATCTTTCCTTTAACATTCTCAGTGCTCGTTGCTGCTCCATCACCAGCACAATCCTCACTTTACTCTTCTTTATTCTCTCCGAGTCATGTCCTTTCTTTACCTGAACATACCATACGCCTTTTAACCTTATTCCGTATGTATCATCATAACGTCTAATAAACTGCAGTCGTAAACCTCAAACCTCATCAATGATGAAATCGATAATGGCCTGTAAAGTGGATGCACGATAATCAGCATATCTGGAGAGCACTAAAGTCTTCTCCATTTGTAACAATCTACAGATTCCATTTCGTAAATCGTTCACTGCACGACATCCCTTTAATTGCATTCATTCACTTGCAGCCTGATACCGTAAAGCCTCATCGATACCGTAACAATGACCAATCAACAAAACAAACCGCTTGAGGCAACTGCACATTCATATCATCATAGTTATCACGCATACTGCTATTTTCGAAATCGAAACATCTAAGATTGGTATTTGAGATCAGAGGTGAAAGCTGTTTGGATGGTGATGAGTTGAGTGGAGATAGGGATAGAACCGAATCGAGGTGGTCGTTTAGAGTCATATTGCGGATTGATGGCCATGACAACACGTACACATCCAGTGTTACCTCGATCTGATCGAGTGCTTCAAATTCATTCATGTTATATATTGATATGATAATATGCATGCATATCAACTACTGTATCGTTCATAAATTGNATATTGTGAGGTATGTTGGGGCACTGTTCGAGTAGTTTGATGAGACATGAAGGTAGATGGTCAATCGAAAATGTGAACATGGATTGATCCGGGAACCGGATAGCGCACTGAAAGTTGAGGAAGAGTGGGGTGGCGTCCATGGCGCTCTCCTCGACCGTCAGCAATTCACTCTCGGATATGCATGTGGCTGAGGTGGACAAGGCCGACATGCTGTTGGGTGTTGAACGTCCTGAGGTTGGGCTAAGCATCGCAGACTCGACGGATCTGGACGATCTGGTGGGAGTGGTGTTGAGGAGTTCGTTTTGCTCGTTGAATTCTTCTGAATGACATTCGTTCACACGACAGTCACAGATTCCAATTCAATTCTCTACATGAATCGAACTTGAAACAAATCGATAAACGATAAATGAATATGTGTACGTGTGTTATCGAGGAAAATGTCATTCGCATTATGAACATCGCTCGGCATCAGCGCTGAATTCAGCACATCATCCTCATTCAGATAGCAAAACTCGACATCGTCACTGAATGAACTTCGCGATTGGAACTGCGATGGATATGTGCTTGTGTGCTGTTGAAATACTCTTTGCGAGCCTATTCCCAGTCCACTTTCCAGTTTCATTTTCTTAAATTATTTACTTCATAGTTCTTCAGACAACTTCACCGATAGTATACGGTAATGAATGAGCATAAATTAGATAAACTGACGAAATTGGCACTGTTCTGAGATACGGGTAATTGTGCGTTTGCATCTTTGACGTAGAAGAAATAGTTCGGCAGATTGGGCACTTTTCTGAAAGTGAACAGAAAAGACGTTGACTGGTAACGCTTCTATGGATTGGTAACGAATAGAGTTCAGTTGGGGACCACCGAAAATCGGCGTCCCCGACCGCAACCGAAACGATCTGCTCGATTGGTGGTCACCAAAAATTGGCTTTCGGT